ACATTGACAGTATAACTAGTGTTTGAAGTGATGTTAGTGTATGTGAGGTAGTATCCAGTGATTGGTCCATTCCTTCCATTGCAAGGTACTTCATCCCATGAGACAGTCATTGACACTGACTCTACTGATGAGAATATAACATCACCCACTGGCGCTGTAGGGGCTGTGATAGAAAGAAAATAAAGTTTCAAGATCAATATTAGAATTTTCTTACCGGTTGAAATTGTAGTAACTGAATGATCAGCAGTTAAATAAGCTATCTCAGCTCCATATACTCCAATAAGATCAAAGCCACATTGACTGTAAGGAGGTATACCAGTTGAAGTATGTGGTGATGAAACTGATGTTTCACTATTACTAGTGAATGATGATTCACATACTCTACTACAATTCCTATTAATATTATAACTAATTGGTAATACAGCAGTTGGTGGACTCCATGTTAATGTAATGGCTGAAATTGTAACAGTACTCATAATATTATTAACAACTGGACCACCTAAAATAATACATGCATGTACATAATTATGTTAATTTGATTTCACTTACTAAGTTTTAACATAGCTGAAGCATTACCACTAGGTAGAAAAGCTGATCCATAAGATACTACATAAAAAAGGTATGTACTTCCTTGAGGCAATCCTACTATTATGATTGTTGTTGAGGTAGTGGTAACTGCAAAAGGAGCATTACTATGCAGTTGATAGTAGACCTCATAACCAGTAGCTCCTGATACAGCAGACCAGGAGAGTCTTACATGAGATAAACCAGTATTTAATCTTGTAGCAGTTAAACCAGTTGGAGTATCAGATACTGAAAATATATTCTATGATTATTATTGATAACAATCACTAACCTGATATATTGAATGATGAAGTACTGTTGACTGCAATAACACCACTAATAGTACCATTAGTTACTCTCTCATTAGATACAGTACACTGATAGTTACCAGCTTTTCTTAGTCTCACTGTTACTGTCACTCTTGTAGCAGATCCTGGTCCATTTACTATCACACGAGACAGTTCAGTAGATATTCCATTCCCATTCACTGAACAACTGACAGTAGTAGGAGGACCATCAGAGACATTGAAACTGAGACTGAAGACTGGAGGAGTAGCTAATCTACTAGTGGAGAGGAGAGAGAACTGCATAGTAGGATCAGCATCAGGACCATCTGTAAAAAAAGAAGTACATTAATTATAGTCTATATTCATTACATACCATTGTTATTGTATCCAGTATCAGTATATGCTCCAACCACTAGTGTGTGATTCACTCCATTCTCATCAGGAATGATACACTTGTATAAACCTTCATACCCTGATAGTGCAGCACTTCTAGCTAGTGCAATCTGACCACTGAATCTCTTACTGAACAATGGTTCTGGAACTCCTGATGGATCATCAAAGTCTCCATCAATTAAAGGTACTTCAGTTCCATTGGGATAATACCACACTCCAATATTAGTACCATTGTTAGCACTCTGACACCACAAAGCATCATTGATATCATTAACATCGTTATTCTGATCAACATCATAAAACTGGCTAGCATATATCATAGAGTAATCAAGTATTATCCTGTTCACATAAGGTAGATACAGTTGAATACCTATATCAAGATTGTCTAATATTGAAATAATTAAGTTTATATTCATACCATTACTAGGCAAGTTATTAGGTTCTTGTCCTTCAGCTCTCCACAAAAGGAAGCCAGCAAGAAGAAGCAATGCCCTCAACATCTTCAAAGAATAGACACAAAAATGAACAGTCAACAGTATTCAATTTCATGTTTGGTATATAGTGTGTGTGTGTGTTTCTTAATTACTATGTCACATGATTAAACATAAGGTGTGTTTACCCCATTAAGAAGCATATAATAATTATGTTTCCTTTACAGAACCTGTACATTCAGTTTGATAATAGTCGTTTATTCTTATGCAAAAACATGAACTGTCTTGTAACCATAACAGCAAGTACTTCCTAAAAGAGCACTACAGTTAGGATGAAGGGCAGCTTTGTAAAGGAAAACTCCTCAGAAAAGAATCTAATACTAGCAAAGACTTACTTGTACATTGAAAATAACTGTATTAATAATAGCCGACACACACAGAATTTTAATTATTATAAAATTTGATGCACTCAATGATGAAGTATTAAGTTTTTGTGCAATCCCTTGCTATACTTTAAAGTTTACATCTATGACAAAAACGCACTTTAATGCTGTATTGTGCACTAAATCATGCACTTTGTATTGTATCATGCACTGGCTCAACAATTGATCTATTAATAATAACTTTAAATAATAATAATAATAATTTTATTTTATATAACTGACTGTGTTTATTGTACTGTGCTGTATGCTGGACTATCCTTCATTACAATGTCATAATCTGATTGCCTATAAATTGTAAAATTAATTCAGTGATGAATGTGTACATTTACTTCTTTTGATTATTATTAGCTAATTTTATGTACATAACCAGTACCATTATAATAATTATAATTATAGCCAGTACTAATAATACAGTAAGAACTACAATTGAACCAACTATCACTCCAGTAGTTGCTCCGATATTGACTAATACAGTAGTCAAAGCAGTAGTCAATGGAGTAGTTTCAGTAGAATAAGTAACTATAAACATAAACACGTATCAATAGATATGTTTACTCATGCTGAATGACACTGACATTGCTTTTAAAAAACTGACAAATCATCTTACTTGTTGTTGATAATGTTAAGATAAAACCTATTAAAATGCATGCAGTTACTTAATATTTATGCATGACAGTATAACCTGGTGGTATTGGTTGAGTCCTCTCTCCTTCATAAATGATTCCATTAACATTAAATGATATAGATATAGAGAATGAGTAGTTCAGATTAGGATCTAATCCTCCTATTAGACCTTCAGTAGTATCACCTGGGAATACTCTCATTCCTGTCTCTACTAGTCTCTTCTTTCTTGAGGAGCTACTGGTTGACTCATAATAGACAGTATAATCACTAGCTCCAGCAACTGAACCCCACTCAGCCCTCACTGCTGTAGAACTGAGCTTTTTATAGAAAAGGTTTGAATGACAGCTAAAATAAAATAATGAAAATTAAAGTATATTAGATCACTTATGTATTTGAGATGTAATATATTGTCTATCAGTCCATTCTCCTGGTCCAATACTAGTATATGCTCTCACTCCAATAGTATAACTAATATTAGGTATCAATCCTACTATGCTGTAATATTCATTAGTAGTGTTAGTTATATTGTATGGACCAGTACTGGTAGACTCTCTATATCTTATCTCATATACTGTAATGGGACCATTAGGTATTGTAGGTGGACTCCATGAGATATTGATCCCTGTTAGTGTAGCGTTTGTTTGCATCAAATCAAATATCACACCAGGAACTGTGTTAAAATCATGTTAAACTGATCAATATCTCATTAACTTACTTGACTCAGCAGTTAATTGTATTTCTTGCCTAGATGGTCCAGTCATGTCGTAATTATAAGGCAATATACTCACAGTATAGTTAGTATATGGTATTAATCCTGTGAGATGATACATTCTGTTGTCTCCTCCAGTGATATTAACAGTATAACTAGTATCTGAAGTGATGTTAGTGTATGTGAGGTAGTATCCAGTGATTGGTCCATTCCTTCCATTGCAAGGTACTTCATCCCATGAGACAGTCATTGACACTGACAATACTGTTGAGAATATAATATCATCCACTGGTGCAGTAGGAGCTAGGTTGATAATGAAAAAGACAAAATAACTATCAATAGCAATTATTATATTACCAGATAAAAGTGTTTCAACTGAATAATCTGTAGTCAAATCAACTGTGATGTCATATACTCCCATAAGAACAAAGTCACATTGACTGTAAGGAGGTATACCAGTTGAAGCATGCGCATGAAATTAATGTTTCACTATGACCAGTTTTTGATGATTCACATACTCTCCCTGACAATCTCTAACAATGTTATAACTAATCGGTACTACAGCAGTTGGTGGACTCCATGTTAATGTAAAGTGCTTGTAATTAATGTAGCCATAAAATCATTACCTAAAGCAAACAATTACTGACATTTTTATTCATATAATAACTTATATAATTGTTAACATAACTGAAGCATTACCACTAGATAGAGAAGCTGACTTATAAGATACTACATAGAATGTGTATCATGTAATACCTCGAAACAATCCTGATGTTATATTGATCATTGTTGGAGCAGTAGTACCTACACTAACAGGAGTAACGCCAGGCCCAGAAAGTTGATACAAGACCTCATAACCAGTAGCTCCTGATACAGTTGACCAGGAGTGTCTTACATGAGTCAGACCAGTATTCAGTCTTGTAACAGTTAAACCAGTTGAAGAATTAGATACTCAAAATTAGCGAATAATAATTATTATTGATATTACTCACAACTGAATCTGATATATTTAATGATGAAGTACTAGTAACTGCATTAGGATGACTATTACCACTAATAGGACCAATAGTTACTCTGGCATTAGATACAATACAATTAGTTACCAGCTTCTCTCAGTCTCACTGTTACTGTCACTCTTGTAACAGATCCATTCACTATCACACAAGACAGTTCAGTAGATACTCCATTTTCATTCACTGAACAACTGAAACTTTATAGTAAGAGGACCATCAGAGACATTGAAACTGAGACTGAAGACTGGAGGAGTCGCTAATATGGAGAGGAGAGAGAACTGCATAGTAGGATCAGCATCAGGACCATTTGTACAAGAAGTACATTAATTATAGTCTATATTCATCACATACCATTGTTATTGTATATGCTCCAACCACTAGTGTTTGATTCACTCCATTTTCATCAGGAATGATACACTTGTATAAACCTTCATATCCTGATAGTCCTTCTCTTCTAGCTATAGTGCAACCTGGCCACAGAATCTCTCACTGTACACTGGTCTTGGAGCTGTATTACCAAAGGGCCCATCAAATGAAGGTACTTCAGTTCCATTAGGATAATACCACACTCCAATATTAGTACCACTGTTAGCACTCTGACACCACAAAGCATCATTGATAGCAATTAAGAGGGTCATTTATCTCATCAGTATCATAAAACTGGTCAGCATATGATACATCATAGAGTAATCAGGTATTATCCTGTCCTCATAAGCTAGGTACACTACAGTCGAACAACTGAATAAGAGCATAGATCTAGAAATTAGATCTAGGCACCAAATTTTTTTTCTGTTCTTACCATTAATGGCTAGGGTGGAAGGTGCTTGTCCAAATACAGACTTTACCACTCAAAATATAATTTAATTAATTTTAGCAAGAGTAAATAATAGTATTGTAGGTATTATCAAGAGTAGATACCTGATGAATAGCTGATAAATAGCTACATCTATTGTCGACATGTCATGTTAGAGAGCGACGCCCAGTCAATGACCATACACGCCCTTTTAAATCGCAGTTTGCTCTTATCATATCTACATTTCTCTCGAGCTCTCCTTGCTTTCAGTGAAATGGAAAGGCTCAAGAAAGTACTTACTCCTTCCAGCAGGAAGGGAAACCTTGAGCTTCCCATGCTGTCCGAAGGCGAAGAGACGGGACAGGAGCTCAAGAAAGTACTTACTCCTTCCAGCAGGAAGGGAGACCTTGAACTTCCCATGCTGTCCGAAGGCAAAGAGACGGGACAGGAGCTCAAGAAAGTACTTACTCCTTCCAGCAGGAAGGGAGACCTTGAGCTTCCCTTGCTGTCCGAAGGCGAAGAGACGGGACAGGAGCTCAAGAAAGTACTTACTCCTTCCAGCAGGAAGGGAGACCTTGAGCTTCCCATGCTGTCCAAAGGCGAAGAGACGGGACAGGAGCTCAAGAAAGTACTTACTCCTTCCAGCAGGAAGGGAGACCTTGAGCTTCCCATGCTGTCCGAAGGCGAAGAGACGGGACAGGAGAGGTGTCGCTCCATCGAAACACCATACAGTGCATTGGAAATGGTAAGTCTATAACCAAACACTCAAGGTCCTAGTAATAACATTAACTTGTTGTAACATTGAAAGATAAGCGAGTTGCAAAATTGAAAGTTAGGCCTCGTTTACACGACTAGATCTACGCTGGCCTAATCTGCATCGTTTTTGCTGACTGTTTTCGCATAGATATCTATGGTTTTCGAGTGTTTACACTAGTCCAGCAGCTGCGTTTTCATTAAAATTTATCATTTTTGTTTATAGAAGTATATGTTTTGGTATTTGTTTGTCTTTTTTTGATTTGATATGCGTTTTCTTGTGTTTTAGTTTAAACGAGACCCTTATCTGACCAAAAATATATTCGTTTTACTTTAAAACATAGTTGTGTAAACCAGGCCTTAAAAGTATAGATATTAGAGTACACAGGGATTGGAAATGGGGCGTAGCGACAGGAAAATGCTTGCTAGTTGCATAGATAATAGAGTAAATGAAAGGGATTGGAAACGGAAGCGTGGGCGTGGGCAAACCTCCATTCATTTGTATTGTTGCTAAGTAAACTGAGGAGGGTTGAGATTTTTTGACCGATTTTGGAGTAAAAAACTGGGATTTTCTTGCTTTATTCTTGAATAACTCCAAGAGAATACAATTCATGCAAACAAAACTCACACACAATATTAACCAATGTTTATGCTTTGTATTAATATTTTTTGTTCAGTAAATCAATGCATGCGTTAGTAGCCGCGTCACTCTTTAACTAGAAATACTATCTTTTCCCCCTCTGAGAGACTCATTTTCTTCTTGAGCTACGAATAAGTATAACCGTTTTAAAGAGCTTGAAATTTCCTATGGAATGAGCTATCTTGCATATTGATACAATGAAGCTTGAGTGTTTTACGAACGATAAAGTGTTTCAAAAGCAAGCGACTTTGTGTACCTCTAACTGGTTGCAAAATGGCTTTTTGGAGATAAAAACCTTGCTACAGGTAGCTCTAAAAATTCTATGTGGAATAGGCTATATATCAAAAGCAAGCGCTATCCTGGAGCAGCACAAATTTCCTTCGAAATCCTGCCA